TCACTTCACTAACATCATCTTCCTGTTCCTCATTATCATTACCAGTATCATAGTGTTTCCATTGACATTATCTTTTGATTTTTTTGATTTTTGTAATTATAATTAAAATAAATAAACACTAATTTGAAAACCATGCCAGATGTTAGTCTATTTCTTTTTTTATCATGTATATATGAGAATGCAGGCCAATTTCTTTTGGGTGCTGCTGAAGATGTAGGATTGAAAGAATTTGTACAGCAAGATTAGTTAGTTCAGGGGCAACTAATAAAAAATTCCCTTTACACCATGTTACCAAATCTGCTTCATCTATAGTTGACCATGCTAAAGAATTGTCAAACAAGCCAGTATGTTGTTTATAATGTAGTAATTGTGACCAAAATTTTCTAAAAAAAAAGTTAATTTTTTTTGTGTTACATTTATTACTATGTACAAAAAAAATTACATGCGCATGATTTCAAAAATTACGTGCGCACAATGCAGTGCGCATGACATGCGCATTGGAACATCTCTACATATGGGGCTCTGTAAGGTATGTTAGTTTGACTGGTTGCAGGGGTAATAATTGGCCCTGGATTTGGGTTCTGAATAAAGTTCCGAACTGAAATTTTCTGTTTGAATCGAACTGTTCAGTGCTTTAAGCTAAAAACTACTTGGCAGTCCCTGGTATCTAACTTTTGCACTCTGCTTATTTAGAATTAAATTTATTAATTTCTAATCCAGCGTCTTGGTCGAACAAGTTTTTTCTGGAGGCACAGACTTAATTATTCAAAGGCGTTGTATTTTAGAACCTGAAACAATAAGAGAGCTTGAATGAGTTTAAAAGTTTGCAGAGATGATGAATTTTGTATATGAATTGAAAAAAATAGAACGTCCTTAGGATTTCTATTCGAATTATTTGTTTTATTCGTTATAAATTGAAAGTTTAGTCAAATGAAATGAATAATTCGAATGAAACTAATAAAACTAATAAAACTAATAAAGCAAATAAAAGTTTGTATTGCGAATAGAAACTCCAAACGTACAAATTTTTGTGGTGAATCTATGAATGTTCTCCATTCTAATTTTGGTAAGAAATGGACCATCGCTACCATGGTATAAAAATTATGTATTTAGAAACAGGATCTTCCAGCATCTCTCTACTTCACAACACATTCACTAAAACTAAGCCACAAGTTATTTGTGAAGTTATTATGTATATTTTTACATAGTTAACGAATTTATATAGAATGTCCAAGTCAAATGTGAACCGAAAAACTGAACCGAACCATGAAAAGAGAATAGAGATTCCAACAAATTCAATTCCTATCAAATGTCTATGAATCAAAGCAATATCATTCAAAACATTGCTACAATCCAGGTCTTGATTGGAAAAGAATTCAGATTTGATAAGCAAAATTGTTACATTCTTTCCCTCCAGAAAATCAATAAAATTTACCTCAATCCAAACATCAAAAACTTTATGATAAAACATATACCAACATCAGTCCGAAGCTGATTGTCTTCAACCATACATATTGTGTTAACTTCTGTGAACCAATTTGGATTTCATGTTTCGCATGAATTTGCTATTCAACAATGGATTCATTCCTTATCTGCACCACAAACTAATACAAAAATTGGTAAGAGTGTAAACAACATATATAAGTGTGTAAGTTAGAATGAAACTTACTTTAATGAAGAGATTATTCAGCATCATATTTTGCATTTATTGCATCTCATACACCAACTTTATTGAGCTCATCGGCAGAAATATTGATCTCAACAACATCTTGACCTTGCTTTCTTTTAAATAATTCTTTGATCTGCATTAAGATCTATTATGGTCATTAGCAATATTTCATTTACCATTGTTCTTAAACACCACTTAAATACCTTACGAATTTGCTTGTCTGCAGTATTATTAAAAGATATATTTTATTAGATATACTAAATGATCTTGAAGCTAAAATTTATCAAACTTGATTAATTAAACAATTAAATGATAATACCTGCACAAAAACAATTAATAAATGTTTTGCAATTTACTTAATTAATGTAATGTAGTTATTTTTTGTCTTTTATTGTTTTTATTAATTAAAATAATACTTTATAAATGAACTGGTATTCTGCAGCAAATCCATATTTGTCATCTTGGGCCCATTTTAAAAGCTATGGGCATAAAGTTTTGTCAGAACTAAAGTTTCTGGTCGAAACTACCTCTCTTAATAACAAAAATTGCTGAAACACTGGGTGCAAAATTTATTTTTTTTATAGGCCCAAACTATTTTTTATTAATAACCGAAATTAGGCAAAATTGGTTTTAAAATTAGAATAGGTTGATTTATATAGTTTTTTTCACTGGAAACCTTAGTCAGAACATCATCTGGTTTTCTTATTTAAAAATATAGAGTATATAGACATTCAGTACTGTACACTTTTGCATTCCTATACTGTATGAAAAGAAATACAGTATGTGATTGCATGTATTGTTATACAGTTAACGATCAAATTTTATTTATCACGTGCACAAATTTTAGCCAATAAAATTTAAGAAAATCATTGTGATACAAGTGGGTTAGGTAGGAACAGTCACGTGAAATTATTCGACCAATGAAATAAAGAGAAACTAGTAAAATTTTAATAAAAACATTATTAGTTGGTACAACAAAATTTGGAATTTTCAGAATGCTAAGGTTCAGCCAATTTTTAGTTTAAGAAAAACTAACCGATAAGTTTTTGTAACTTGAGTAAATGAACAATAAAAATCTATCGGTTAGCTTTTTTAAGATGATATAAAAATATTTTGAAGCTGGCCAATTGTTACTATAAACACCATAATAATATTTTAATGGTTACACGAGCCACGTATTTAAAAGGGCGAGATTTTTTTATACGATGACATACTGTAATAAAAGTAAGAGAGTTATTGACTTTATCGATTATCGAGATTTATTGTGATTATGAAATTATCGAATAAAGTTTTAATATAACTAACATTGTTCCTGAAAAAATTACGAATTTAAACGATTATGAATTTATCAATTTATCGAATATGAATTTAACGAGTTTTGACTATACAATCTATGCAGGCAGACATGTTCTTAATACGGAAAAATGATTTTTTCCCTTAAGAGATTTTTTACATGGAAATATAAGCACATGGTTATAAAACCAAAAGGAGACTTTTTTCTGACTCGGAAAGAATTGATAATACCTGCCAAAGTCATGACCTCAGATTTGTCGACAGAATTGCATATTAATATGTTGATAGTTTATAACTCGCATTATTGGTAAAGCCGTTTCAAATGGCTCATCAAGACATGGTCATCCAATTTCAAGCGGTTAAAAGAACATTCCTTGAATTGGGTGAAGGAATTTGAGACATCAAACAAGGACAAGGAAAAATTTGACAAAAAGGCTGATGATGATACTGATCATCTCAAGAAGGAAAGGAAACGCTTGCGGAAAAAGAATCAATTTAAGCCTTGTCCACGAAAGGCTTGTAAAAGACCCCGATTCAAAGGAACAGATAACAGAAGAATGCTTATCAGAGTTTGAAGGTTGCTCGTAAAGTAAGAGAGAGATGCGAGAGAATGTTATATCATAAGAAATGACCTAATATTCTTAAGGGTGTTAAGTTGAAAAGGATGAATATGAATATGAATAAAAGAAAATGCCCTCAAAACAGTTCAGACTATGTCAAAAATTGACGCGGCTCGTAGGATTCATCGAGAGCTTGGCCAAGATCTGAAGAACTTTGAATATCCCAAGTCTCAGTTGAAGGATCGATATAATCAGCAGCTTTGTAGAAAGAAAACAGACAAAACTTGGTGCTGCGGAAAGAAATTATATAAAAGAACATGCCGGAAAAGAAGATCAAAATAAACTATTATCATCATCATCACAACCACAATTATCATTCAACATCATTACCTGTGTCAAAACTTGATGGACTTTGCATTCTTGCTCTTCCCAACCCGTATTCTCATTTCCTTGAATATCTAAAAACATACTCGTTTATCCTGTCGGTTATGTTAATTGAACAACCGGCACAGGAGATTATAAACACTCAAAAAGATGATGACAAATGAGGAGCAAGCATTAAATATATTGCACGGTTGGAATGAATAACAATTATTGTTCCCAACAGATTTGTGCATGGCGTTTTCATAGAATTATCAATAGCAATATCATTAGTATCAAAGCATATGGTGCTGTTGAGTGTGTCAACCTACCATGCATTTCATTCGAGTGTAACTAACACCATTAAAGCCTTGGTCCTCGCTCAGCTTTCATTCCACTTTTACTACCCTTCCCAAAAACTTATGCAAGTCAATTTATACTGGGCATTCAAAACACTTCAACACTCTCAGATCCAATGAGGTCACTCCTGGTCAAGGAGATTTAACCATTTGTTATCTTGTCAATAAATCAAAATAAAAATTAGAGATTTAAAGATTAATTAATAATGAATCTTATTATTTTTTTATTATTACGAATAACTTATATTAATGTGTTATGTTTTATTTATACATATGAAAGAATAATATATGGTAATATTGTATATACATATTATATAAATATTAAAAAAACCAACTATCAAACTAATTAATAATTAAAAAAAAAACCATCGGGTAGAAAATTCTTTTTATCAAAAAAAGATTACTTAAAAAAATTTAAAATATAATTAATTAACTAATTAAGTTTTACTACTATTATTATTATTAATTATTAAGATTATTATTATTAAAAAAAAAATTCATATTTCCTGCTGAATCTATACACAAAATAATCGAGGGGTTATATAAAAAAATCAAAAATTAAAAATTTCAATAAAATAGTAGATAAATGTATGTAAATATGTAGGTATGTATAAATGGATGTATATAAGTAAGGTGAGGCATTAGATATGTATAATAATATATATATATACGTAAGTGTAAGTGGATATATGCAAAAATCAAAAAAAATTTGATAGTCTTTTTTTTTTTAATCTCTTTCTTACTTATAAAAAAATTTAATTAATTCAATAAATCGCTGATCTTCATTGAAGTAGGCGATGATGAGGCATGAATTGATGTTGATGGCGATAATTCATCACCACATCCTTCCATATGTTTTTGTTGTTGTTGTGAATTTATAACGATACTTAATGAAGAATTATCACTTTTGGTATTATTGTTATATTCGTGTTTAATAGGACTACTAGTAATACTAGAAGTACTTCTTTCTGGCGGCGGCGATGGTGATAGTGACTTTTGTATAAATTGGTTGTTATTATTATTTAAAGATGAGGAAATGTTATTATTTATATCTGAATGAAATACATTATTATTAATATTACTATTATCATTGATAGTTTGTGATTTAATTGAAGAAGAGTGATTGTCAAATAGAGCTTTGTTATTCCTAGATGTTGACGAAGGTGGCGGTGTCATTAATGATGAAGTATTGGTGGTGGCAGGTGGTGACGATGATGACGACAAATATGTTGTCTTTAGAGCAAGTTGAGGATGGTGATGATTATTATGATTATAATCGATATCAATATCACCTATGCCACTATCATTATGTAAAGAACCATCGTCGCTTCCTCCTCCGCCGCTAACACTATTATTATCTTCTTCATGATCATCACAAATCATATGGTCACTATTATCAGTGTTCTTATCATTGTCATTATTCTTATTGTCACTATTTTTTGTCCCAGTAGCACCAGTACCACTGGTGGAAGTAGTAGTTATTGTTGTTATAGTGGATGGGGTTGATGGAGATGACGGAGATGATGGAGATGATGATATTAATCCGCTATGGTTTGACGGCGTTGTCGTTGTTGTAACAGTGACTAATTCGCCCGGTCTACGTTTTTGTACACCACCTCTTGTGAATACACCATCATGATACCCAGTCATATAATCAGGGTCAATTGTCCAATATCCACCTTTACCTTTACTTGCAGTAGTGGTTGATGCGCCACTACCCCCACTTCCTAATTCTGCATCTGAACGTGGTACTTTTTTGAAACATTTATTCAATGATAAATTATGTCGTATTGTATTCTGCACATATATATAGTAGTAGAAAAAGAATATATTTGTTAGGAAAGGTAAAATAAATAAATGTTTGTTTATTTGTGTAAAACAGAGGGGGGTGGGAAAAATTTTAATTAATTAAATTAAAAAAAGGGAATTTAAAATTAAAAATTATTTGTTTATCTATTATACTTGTTATTGCTTTAGATAGAATGTTATTATTTCTGCTAACTAATCTTTTCTCAACTACTATTGTAATTGCTTGTAACACAAAGTTAAAATGCGAAAAGCATTTCTATAATAAGTGAAAACAGGTTTTTTTTATATAATTTGTCATCACAATAAACTAGACACAAATAAGCATTATTTTCAAAAAAATTAAATTCATCATCATCACCAGCCACTCATTATTACTATCCTTATCCACCCCAACTTTCTACACAACAATATCATCATGACCATCATAACCATCACCATTCTTCCCAAAATACGAACTCTACTGCTACTATTAATAATTCCACTACTAATAAACCCAATATTAATAATCCTAATAATACTAACATTAATAAAAACAACACTCGTATAAAAACGTCATCTAAATCAAATTTATATCGATCAACTCAACAATCTCCATCTCCACCATCATCTAATAACAATAATAGTTCTAATGGTAGCAGCAATAATAATAATAATAATAGTCATCATCATGATAATAGTAATACATTGATTCACAATGGATCTAGCCAATCAACTCCAATACGCCCATATCAAAGAAGCCACACATCACAAAATGTTATAACTGAACCATTTGTCACAGTAACACCAGAGCTAAACAATAGACCACCAAGAAGACGTAGACGTCCTCCATTCTCTTACTCATCATTAATAGCTCAAGCTATTTTAGATTCACCTGAACATAGATTAACATTACGTGAAGTTTACCATTGGATAATGGAACGTTATCCACAGTTATATAAAGCTGATGATACTGGTTGGCAGGTTAGTTTTTATTTAATTATTATAAAGTAATTTTATTTTAGTAATTGGTTGATCAATCATTTTTTGGGGTACCATCATCATGATCGTTATTTTATTATTATCTTACACCAATCCAAAATTTCATTTTAATTTTCCTTATAAAAAAAAAAACTTAATATAGAAAAAAAATTTTTTTTACACATTTTTATATTATAATATAAATTATTACGGGTAACCCCGATCTAGTTAATAATATAGAACAATACTTCTATTTGATGAATGATTTTTTTGATGATGATGATGAATTTAATTTTTTTGAAAATAATGCTTATTTGTGTCTAGTTTATTGTGAT